CAAGCCATTCACACTCATTCAATCCGTCACAAGAAAGCCTCCCAGCAGATAAATTCTACAAAGGGCAGCAACCCTGGGATGTGCCTTATCTCTGCAGGAACTCCAGCCTAGAGAGGTTTCTCCAGTGACTGGCTGAGGAACACAGCAATTTCTTCAGACCTTTGATGCCCCGTTATTAAGGTCTTAGGCCAGACAAGAGGGGACCTCTTCTACTCTGCTCACTCAGCATCCATGGACTACGGCACATGGTAGGGACTTAACAAATGTTTTAATAAGTCCCTGGCATTTATTGTCCCACTCACAACCCTGTTCCCTGCCTCCAGGGTATAGACAGGAATTCTAGAATCTGAGAGAGCCTGTACCTTCAAAATGGCATAAGAACAAAAGACGGAAAGGCAGGACCAGACTGGTTAGAGCTGACTCGCAGTAAGGATAGACGCTTTTCACAGATGATCACCTAAGTGACCTAGAACACTGTCCCCTGACCCCCAATTGCCTGATTCTTTTCACCCTGATTTGCCCCTCAAAAGCAGAAAGGCTACACTCTGCCACCATTCTGGGCTCCTTGTGCGTGACTGCTAAGTTGCTTCAGCTGTGTCCGACTATTTGTGACCCTGTGGACTATAGCCCGCCAGTCTCCTCTGTCCATGGGATTCTTCAGGCAAGAAAACTGGAATGGATTGCCACGCCCTTCTCCAGGGGATCTTCCCAACCAGGGATCGAACCTGCGTCTTTTATATCTTCTGCATTGGCAGACAGGTTCTTTACCACTAGTGCCATCTGGAAAGTCCTCCCAGCACCTAACCACTTTTTCCCCTAGTGGGAAGACATGAATCAGACTTCCTCCTGAGAGATCACTCACATGCTGGGTTCACTTGAGGCATAACATTTTTCTGTCACTAAACTTTAAATGCCTATTTTCTCATTTGAAAACAAACACTTTGAAGTCCATTTAACTTATTTTAGACAGCAGCTGCATCAACGGTTTTGAAATAATGCTTCAATAAAAATAAGCATGAATTCAGAAAATTAGAATTATGCTATAGCTTAGAAGTTATCATCTGCCAGCTTTTCTCATTCACACCATTATTGCTGAATGAGCCACACGGTTGGGGTGGGGGTGGGGAGAAGGGGATGGGAACAATCTGGGAAAATTGCATAGGAGACCACTGGGAAGATATATACTTAGCAATAATGAAACCTCAGATTAGGAATGTCAAGCATCTTCAAACTAATGAAAAGTCAAAGTGTAACTGGGTTGCAAATTTGTCTTCCAGAGGAAAAGAAGCCTCAGTTCCCAGTCAGTGGAAGGAAAAAGGCCTCGCTTTGTTTCCATTTTCCTGCAGAAAACATGATTCTTTCAATGTTAAAAGCAGCCAGAACCTACACGTGTGTTTGCTTATCCCAGTTAAGGACAAGACATCTTAAGACACCTGCAAAGCCAAGAGACTGCCGGTCTGGGAAACAGGGAGTAGAAATACACTGCTTACTAGCACCTTTTAAAAGTATCATTGCCAGATAGCATTTCAGAAATGTTTACACACAAAAGCACACACATAAGCAGCTGGACACTATGTTTTAATGGCACTGACCTCCTCCCTGCATTAAATTAGAACAGTGGTTTGAACCAATGCTGGTGGTTGTTTCAGGCCATCTCTTAAGTAACAAGTGCTACTGGATTAAAACTCACCAATATTCCCAACTTCCAGAACTAGAAATGTGATTTCTTAATGGCTCACCTAATTCTAGAGGAGTCAGATTCCTTCATAAAGAGTGTGAATATTAAAAACCATGAAATTTATGGTGCAGTATGGCTAATTGAAAATGTAATTAGAAATAAATTAAACCAACTTCATGTTTTAATCACTGTGGAACACTTAAAGTATTACAGCAACAGGGCAACTAATTTTCTTCTGGAAAATGTATAATGATGTCATTATTTTTTTACTTGGGACTCCAGAGAAGGAAGAAATATTAAGAGAGACAGATAGTTGCTAAACGCAACAGATAGGTGGTGCTGTGGCTCACTGAAGCCTTGGAATTAGACTCCAAAGGCCTGGGTTTTTACAAAGGCTATATCCCAAGTTTAAAAATCAGAATTAGAAGTCAAATAAGTGCCTCAAAAAGGCATCTGACTTGCATAGTAGCTGAATTTTTGCCTTGACAAATAAACTACTGTAGTTTCTAAGATGTCCACTAATTTTCTATTTGCCTAAAGAATGTTTTGGGTTAACACTTCAATTTTAAGCATTTGCAAGGTCTGTCACAGACTTCTATCACTTAGAGAAATCAAATACTAATGATACATTGGCTTAAACATAATGAGTTCATTGCTTTATGACATAATTACGAACCCAAGGAAAACTCTGCGTTGGTTACCTATGACAAATTGTCCAAATAATTCTACTTGGTAAAGGCAGCTTTCTTTTTTGGCTAAAAACACACTCTGCTTGGCTTCAGAAGGCTTGTGTCTGATTTCTTGGCTCCATCCCTTCCTGGCTGCTGCACCAGCTTCGAGTTCCTTGGCTACTTAATCGTCTGAGAATCACTCTTCTTCCAGTCCAGGGGTTCTATCTGGTGTCCTAGGTCTCTCCAAGACTCAAAGGGAACCTGGCAAAGCTTGTCTTTAGATGCCTACTACCCTCCTTGTTGCTGGTTTCTATTTCTTCTGGACTGTTTCCACATCTATGGTGTAGGAGTTAAAATGCCTACCTTATAAGGGTGTTTGAGAGGGTTCCCTGATAAAGTGCTTGTAGAGGGTGGAGCATACTGGTGCACTTAGTAGGTACTGAAAAAACATCACAGTCTGCTCCCTTCCCCACCTCATACACCAGACAAACACAAATCCTATGGCAACTGTTGGTAAGCAAACCTCTCACAGAACATTTCATTTTAAAAGAGGCCTTCAAAGTGACTAACCTCCCCAGGAATTCAGCCCCTCAGTCCCCTCCCCAGGAATTCAGCCCTCAGTCCCCTTCACCTATTGGGGCAGAAGGTCAGTGGGGTGTTGAGGCAGTGCCCAGACCACAGAGGATAAGCAATGAGCCTTTTCCCAGCAGTGTGCTAGTTGGTCTAGAATGTAGTGTAAATCATATATATATACACACACACACACACATATATATATACATACACTTCCCTGGTGACTCTGACTATAAAGAATCCGCCTATAACAGAGGAGACTCACTCCGTTCGATCCCTGGGACGGGAAGATTCCCTGGAGAAGGGAATGGTTCCTCACTCCAGTATTTTTGCCTGGAGAATCCGATGGGCAGAGGAGCCTGGTGGGCTACAGTCCATGAGGTCGCAAAGAGTTGGACACAACAACTGAAGTGACTTAGCACACAGCATATATACATATAACCTGTAGGTATGTATTCCATTACAGATTTGAATTAACATTGAAAACAATACCCCAACTGCAGTAACAGTCACTGACCCAGTCAAAAGCATAAGGAGATTTTCAGGGTTTAGGAAGCCACATGGGAGCTGATTAAATGAGGAGCTGGCTTATCTTTCCAAAAGTTCAAAACCTCCTAGCCTCAGTGACCAGCAATGAGAAGATTAACTTCTGGTTAAACTGAGCGCCAGAGCAAAAGTTTAGCCGCGTGAACTCTTGCCATTCTGGGAAGATCCCGTAATCAGTGCTGGCTAAGGAAAGTGCCCCTTTCCTAGAATGTAAATGAGAAGAGAAACTGAGACGGAGAGAGAGGGAACGCACACACGCTGCGTTTTGAAATCCTGTCTTTGTGTCTCTTGCGTAGTATCCTATCTTTTGTGTCTCTGGCCCGGGGGGCGGGACCCCTTCCACCTGGCGTTTTGTCCCCTTCCTTCCCAGGGTCTCCAGAGAAGGACACAGAACTCCCCTGGAAGGAGAGCTAATTGGTAGGACATTATCGCTCCAAACTGTTTAGCGTGATCTGCCTTGCAGAGAGAAACCTAGAGCCAAGTTACTTTCCAAGTCTGTGGGGCTCCCGAGGCGCGCGCCTGGATCAGCAACGCTTGCAAGTCAAAGTGGTCGCATCACGCTTTCTCGGACTGCTGGAAGCTCGGTCCTAACGATGAGATGGCATCTCGAACCGAGCCCCCTCACTCGGGTCCGGGCGGTGCGGGGACCGAGACGTGTTATCCTAGCACAAAGCCAGGATTCCAGTCTTGTGTAAACACCACGCCGGCCCATCTCCAAACGATTCCCTCGGATACCTTCTATGTGATTATTTATCTCACATACAGATAGAGATTCTGTTGACAGATCTTCGTTTTCTACTCAACAGACGGCTTCCCTGCGAAGCGCTTCTCCTCGCGATTCCGCTAAAAGGTGCGATAGCATCTGACACTTCCCTAAACCCGCCTGCGGTGGACACCGCCCGGGGGACTGTGTCGCCCCTAAACACACGTGGGCACAGCTCCGCAGGCGGGCACATGGAAGGGGCGCGAAACCCAGGGCGGTGATTTTCCAGCCAGTGGGGCTGATGGAGAAAGATGCCAAACGCACTTCCCGAGCCAGCTGAACTCCGCGGGCACCTAATCGTTGCCAGATGTGGAGAGGGCGCACCGAGAACATCCCCGAGTCCTGGAGAAAACACCCGTCGACTTCTCAGACGGGGAAGAGGCAACGGCGGGGAGGGAGAGGGACTGTGGAGAGAGTGGGGCGTGCGCCAGGGCGCAGAACGAACTAGGGGGGGCCGAGGGTGGGGAGTGATGATGCCTCCACTCTCCTGGGCGTATTTTTTCAATTAAAAAGTTGGGAACTGGAATCCGTAAACAACGACTTGGGGCTTCAAACTACTTTGTTGAGACCCAATGGGGAGGGCGGTACTTGCCGGCTTCAAATGACCCCCCCCCCCGCGCCCCGAGATCTCCAGCGGTATCCGTCTCTTGAGCCCCGGGGGCGACCCCCAGGCTGCGCGCACCAAACCCAGTACCAGATCTCCCTCGGGTCTCCGCGCAGAGAAACTCTGCACCTCGCCCCCTCCCGCGCGCCCCGAAGCCCGCCCTACCTTTCATGGTGACCGAGGAGACGCACCGCCAGCCGGGGAGCTCCGCGCCGCCGAGGAAGTCCGCGCTGAGCAGCGAGTCAGTGCGCGCCCATGGCAGCCGCGCCGCGCGTCGGCCGTCTGCGCTCCAGCCCTGCCTCCCCGCTCGGCGCTCTGAGCCGCGGGGCCGCCTCGCGCGCCGCTCACCCCGGGCGGGAGGCGCCGCCGCCGCCAGCGCCCCTCCCCCTGGCCCGGCCGCCGGGGCGCGCGGGCCGCCGCGCCCACGCCCCCCTTGCGCCTTCCCGCGCCCGCCCCGCCCGCGGGCCGGCTCCACCCCGGGCCGGGCCGCTTCCCCGCCCGCGCTCCCCGAGTTCCCTCTTTTTCGCGTTGGCTTGGAAGCGGGACGAAGACCGAGGAAAGCGGCTCCCGGGGTGATCAAGTGCTCAGCCTCGGGGTGCACAGAACATGCTGCCGCTGGGCCGGTTTTTAGACCTCAGACTCCCCAGAGTGTGGGGCGAGCGGTCTGAGAGCAGCGGCGTCACGGGGACGGCGTGGCTTGCTTGTCCCTTCCCCAAAGGGCTCTGGGCCCGGAGCGTTAGAGGATCGGACAGGGGGCGAGAACGCCCCCGAGGCCCCAAGTTTCCAAGTCTGCTCATTGATTCCCCGAAGGAGCCCAAGGGTCAGTCCTCACTGTCATCTGGGGAGAACTGACGCTAAGTTCGAAGTCACAGTTAGATGCTCTCCCTGCAGAGCTCGGAGCAGGATTACAGCTCTTAGACCTTCAAGAAGAGAGAGACTGAAAAACTCACCACACTCCCCGTGGTTGGAGAAGCCCCCCTTCCACCCACCACCCCTGAAATGATCAGGTTGACTCCTGTTTTACTAGGAAAGGAGGCTGAGCTGTTGAGTGGCTTCATAATGAGTTCCTTTCATTGTGGCCCATCAAGTTGCCCCACTGTGTTTATCTTTCCTTTTAGAAACCCTCCAAAGCAGACCCATTGCTTTATTGCTTTCCTGCGTAAACTAAGTGGTGAGTGGCGTTGGAGGGGGCTGGGCGGCGGGGGTGGGAGCAGAGGAACTGTCTTCAAGTTCGATGAAATGAAAGATGACTCGCTCCCTTGCTAGCACACCAAAAGCAAGGCAGTTCTGGCCGGGCAGTGGTTGCAGCTTCGCAGACTTTCTCAACTGAGGACTTGATAACACGGTGTAAGCCGCCGATTGATTCATTCTAAACAGGGAACTCTGCTCTAGTAAAAGACAGTGCCCAGAAATGAACACATTCTAAAATATTTCACAGACTCTCCATTCCAGAAGCTTTCTATTTTGAACATTAGAGGAAAACTTGCACGTGACTGACAAAGAAAAAGACAAAAACTGGAGATTTATTTTTCATATTTGGGGTCGATGCAACTATAGGGTAACTGAAGATTACTTTAGAGATTTGCTTCAGCTCTCACCAGAGTACCTGCCTTGTTTTTACTTCCAATGAGAGTCCCTGAAGAGCCAAGAATATGGATTCTCAGCCCAGAGCTTACTATTAATAACTAATGATTGGATGGAATAAGCCCATCACTGTCTTTGAATCATAGTTTCTTTTTGGCCACAATATTTGAAATGAAAAAAAAAATCTTTTAAAAAACCTAAATTAAAGCTACAATACCAAAACCACAGTCAAGAAAAGAAAAAATAGATAAATTGGATTTCATCAAAATTGAAATTTTTGTGCATCAAAGACACTATCTACAGAGTGTAAAGGCAACCCAGAGAATGGGAGAAAATGCTTGTCAACCGTGTATCTGATAAGCGGTTAGTATCCAGAATATGTAAATAACTCCAATGAGTCAACAACCAGAAAACAAACAGCCAATTAAAAAATGGGCAAAGAACTCAAGTAGCTGTTTCTCCAAAGATGATACACAAATGGCCAATAAGCATATGGAATGATGCTCAACAATCACTAATCGTTACAGAAATGCAAGTTGAAACTATAGTGAGATACCACTTCACACTCAGTTCAGTTCAGTTCAGTCGCTCAGTCGTGTCCAACTCTTCGCTACCATATGGACTGCAGCACGCCAGGCCTCCCTGTTCATCACCAACTCCCAGAGTTTACTCAAACTCATGTCCATTAAGTCAGTGATACCATCCAACCATCTCATCCTCTGTCGTCCCCTTCTCCTCCTGCCTTCAATCTTTCCCAGCATCAGGGTCTTTTCCAATGAGTCAGTTCTTCGCATGAGGTGGCCAAAGTGTTGGAGTTTCAGCTTCAGCATCAGTCCTTCCAATAACAGCCAGGACTGATCTTTAGGATGGACTGGTTGGATCTCCTTGCAGTCCAAGGGACTCTCAAGAGTCTTCTCCAACACCACAGTTCAAAAGCATCAATTCTTTGGCACTCAGCTTTCTTTATGGTGCAACTCTCACATTTATACATGACTACTAGAAAAACCATAGCCTTGACTAGACCAACCTTTGTTAGCAAAGTAATGTCTCTGCTTTTTAATATGCTATCTAGGTTGGTCATAACTCTTCTTCCAAGGAGTAAGCATCTTTTAATTTCATGGCTGCAGTCACTATCTGCAGTGATTTTGGAGCCTAAAAAAATAAAGTCTGCCACTGTTCCCACTATTTCCCCATCTATTTGCCATGAAGTGATGGGACCGGATGCCATGATCTTAGTTTTCTGAATGTTGAGCTTTAAGCCAGCTTTTTCACTCTCCTCTTTTGCTTTCATCAAGAGGCTCTTTAGTTCTTCTTTGCTTTCTGCCATAAGGGTGGTGTCATATGAATATCAGGTTCTCCCGGCAATCTTGATTCCAGCTTGTGCTTCATCCAGCCCAGTGTTTTCCCTGATGTACTCTGCATATAAGTTAAATAGGCAGGGTGACAATATATAGCCTTGATGTACTCCTTTTCCTATTTGGAACCAGTCTGTTGTTCCATGTCCAGTTCTTCCTGACCTGCATACAGATTTCTCAAGAGGCTAGGATGACTAGTATAAAAAATTAAAAATTTTCAAAATACAGAAAACAAGGATTGGCAAAGATGTGGAGAAATTAGAACCCTTGTGCATTGGTGGTAGGAATATAAAGTGATACAGTCACTGTGGAAAATGGCATGGTGCTTTCTCAAAAAAGTTAAACATGGAATTACCATATGATCCAGCAATAACTGGATAGATCCCCAAAAGTGTTGAAAGCAGCAACTCCGGATATATTTGTACACCTGTGTTCCTTATTCACAACAGCCACAATGTAGAAGCAACAAAAGTGTCCATCAAAGGATGAACGGATAAAATAGATGTGACACATGCTAGCAATGGAATATTGTTGTTGTTCAATTGCCCAGTTATGTCCAACTCTTTGTGACCCCATGGACTGCAGCACGCCGGGCCTCCCTGTCCCTTAACATCTCCTGAAGTTTGCCCAAGTTCATGTCCATTGCATCAGTGATGCCATCCAGCCATCTCATCCTATGACACCCTCTTCTCCTTCTGCCCTCAGTCTTTCCCAGCATCAGGGACTTTTCCAATGAGTCAGTTGTTCGCATCAGATGACCAAAATACTGAAATTTCTGTTTCGGCATCAGTCCTTCTGACAAGTATTCAGTGTGAATGTCCCTTAAGATTGAATGGTTTGATCTCCTTGCTGTCCAAGGGCCTCTCAGGAGTCTTCTTCAACACAGATCACTGCCTTGTCATGGTAAAGGAGCTTGCGTAATTCAATGAAGCTATGAGCCATGCTGTGTAGGGTCACCCAAGACAGGTCATAGCAAAGAGTTCTGACAAAATGTGATCTGCTGGAGGAGGGAATGGCAAACCACCCCAGTAAACTTGCTGTGAGAACCTCATGAACTATATAAAAGGACAATGAAATATTTTACAGATTTAAAAAGGAAGGAAATTCTTTTTAAAAATATTTATTTATTTGGCTGCACCATGTCTTAGTTTGGCATGCAGAATCTTTAGTTGTGGTGCATGAAATCTTAGTTCCCTGACCAGGGATTGAACCTAGACCCCCTGCATTGGGACGGTGGAGTCTTAGCCACTGGACCAACAGGGAAGTCCCCAAAAGGAGGGAAATTCGGACACATGGATAAACCTTGAGGGCATTCGTGCTTGATTGATCAGTCGTGTCCAATTCTTTGTGACTCCATGGACTGTAGCCTGCCAGGCTCCTCTATCCATGTGGATTTTCCAGGCAAGAATACTGGAGTGGGTTGCCATGCCCTCCTGTAGCGGATCTTCCCAACCCAGGGATCGAACTCAGGTCTCCCACATTGCAGGGATTGTCTGAGACACCAGGGAAGCCCTTGAGGGCATTATGCTAAGTGAAATAAGCTAGTCACAAAAGGACAAATACTCTATGATTCCACCTATATGAGGTACCCAGAGAAGTAGAATCATGGAGACAGATGGTAGAATGGTGGTTTCCAGAAGGAGCTGGTGGGAGGGAATGGGGAGCAACTGTTTAGCGGGGAAAGAATTTCAGCTTTGAAGATGTTAACGGTTCTGGAGATGGATGGTAGTGATGGTTGTGCAATAATGTGGATGTACTTAACGCCACTGAACTGAATGGGTTCAGTGGTAAGAAAGGGTTAGAATGGTAAGGTTTATATTCTGTTTGGACTTACCTGGTGGCTCAGACAGTAAAGAATCTGCCAGCAATGCAGGAGACCCAAGTTCCATCTCTGGGTTGGGAAGATCCCCTGGAGAAGGGAATGGTTACCCACTCCAGTATTCTTGTCTGGAGAATCACTTGGGCAGGCTACCATCCATGGGGTCGCAAAAAGTTGGACAGGACTGAGTGAGTAAGCACACACATATTATGTGTATCTTACCACACACACACACAGTCACAACACACACACCCTAACAGAAGAATTATGAGGCTGGGGAGAGAAAAAAAAACAAACCCAAAACCTGTTAGCTACAGTGGACTGGACTCACAGCCTGCTGATGAGAAGCAAGCTCAGCAACTCTTTAGAGGACAGTTCTAAGAAACACTCCTACAGGATGGCTCTTGCCTCCAG